TCGGGTCGGAGAGCGAGTAGTGAGGGCATCGGACCTCCGGCACTCCGGACGGGCGGAAGGCGGTCGGCTTCTCGCGCAATCTAGGGCGGACGGGTTGCGCACCTGCATCTCGAGCAGGGTCCAATGATAGCCGACGGCGAAGAGGAAGGGCCCGAGAGGATCGCCCTGCGCGCAGCCCTCGGTCGACATGAAGGTGTCGCCCGAGCTGCACCGCGCCTCCGCGTTGAAGAGAAAGAGGCGGCGCTGCTCGCTATACCACAGCGCGACGGTCGGGATGAGCTCCGGGAACCACCGCCGCAGGCCCGCAAAGATGGCCTTGCGAGAGATGCAGTTGAAGCCGTTGCGCTTGTCGTCCGAGGCGATCGCGTGGCCGGGGTTGCGCCGCAGATGCTCCTGCAGCAGCTGAATCGCCACCTCGGCTCCGCCAGCGAGTCCCACGCCGACCTGCAGGGGGATGTTGCATGCCTTGACGCGCGCCTCCGCCTCCTCCGCCGACATGCCGAGCCCGCCGTCCTCGGTGGGGCGGAGGCAGATCTCGCGCATGCCGTCGCGGACCGTGCGTCTCATGTCGGGCGTGCCGCCGGTGAAGAGGTCGCACATGTCGGCGCTGCGATGCTTCATGAGCACGCGGTTGGCGAGGCGGCGGATCGCGGCGGGAATGCCGATGGGACGGGTGCCGGTGAGGTTGCCGTCGTCGTCTCTCTTCTCGATGCCGAGGAGGTTGAGGTCGCCCCAAATCTTTGTGGCCGACTCGTGCACCTCGCCGCGGTTGATGGAGGCGACGATGTCGAAGAGCACTTCCCCCGGAAAGAATTTTGTTGCGCCACCGCTTCTTAAATAACGGGGTCGGACACAGGGCGCAGCTCATGCTAAGAGCTAGAAGGGGAGATAGAGAGAACAGCCACCCTGTCCCGTTATTGCGTACACCAACACCACAAAAGCTCTCTCTCTCCTGCTCCTCACTCAAGCGGCCAGAGACGTCAGGGACACCTACCTGGCTGGAACAGAGCCTCTCTCTCGCGCGACTAGGCGAGGAACTCGCACACGTCTACTAGATCGACAGCCACTTGTGGATCACCTCACTGGCCTCTCAGAGAGACGTCAGGGACACCTTGCTGGAACAGAGCCTCTCGCGCGACTAGGCGAGGAACGTTTACGCGGTGAAGCCGGTGAACTTTGCGTCGTCGTCGCCCTCGTCGTCATCGCCCCACATGTCCTCGTCGTCGTCGTCGTCGTCGTCCTCATCCTCGTCTTCTTCATCTGTGGCGTCGGGGGGGAGAGAGGTCGGCAGTGCGTCTGAGGTGAGCGAGGGTGCTGCACATGGGTGGGCAGTGTGAGGCGTTGGGAGCGAGGGGGTTGGTCGCACCGTCATCGTCCGACGGCGGCGGCGGCGAGGGGGGCGGCGGCGACGGCGGCGGCGGCGAGGGGGGCGGCGGCGACGGCGGCGGCGGCGAAGGGGGCGGCGGCGAGGGGGAGGGCGGCGACGGCGAGGCGGACGGCGGCGGCGGAGAGGGCGAGGCGGACGGCGGCGGCGCAGGCAGGGCGGAGGGAGGCGGCGGCAGAGGCGGCGGCGGCGACGGCGAGGCGGACGGCGGCGGCGAGGGCGAGGCGGACGGAGGCGGCGGCGACGGCGAGGCGGAGGGAGGCGGCGGCGACGGCGAGGCGGAGGGAGGCGGCGGCGACGGCGAGGCGGACGGAGGCGGCGGCGGCAGGCTTGGTGGTGACGGCGGCAGCGACGGCGGCGGCGGCAGGCTTGGTGGTGACGGCGGCAGCGACGGCGCACCTCCGGCCTGAAAGGCCTCCGCGATCACAGTGGCGAGGTCGGCAACGGCGCCGGCGGCGTAGGCCACACTCGCAGAGGCTGAGCCACCGTCTGGGATGGTGCCTAGGGGTAGGAAGAGCCCGTACGAGCCGTCGTCGGTGACGGTCCCGCTGAATGTCGTCTGAGGGTCCAGGGAGACGAGGTTGTCAAAATTGCAGCAGGACGCCCGGAGGGCTCGGGCGCCCGGGGAGGCGGAGAAGAGGATGAGGCCTTCCGAGCCTGAGGTGACCTGCACAGCATTGCCGGTGGTGCCGGCGGCGGACGTGAATCCGCTCGAGCCCGAGGTGATGGACCCAATTTCCTTTGCGGGCCGGTCCGTCGTCCCGACCCAATCGTCGCGGGTGCCCCACCAGACCTGGACGTCTGAGGCGGCGGCACCTGATGACGAGACGGTGATGGCCAGGGAGAGCGCCTTGGAGTTGGACGCCGAGAGCGTGAACGTCCAGTCGATGGACAAGGTCGCGCCCCCGATCGAGCAAGTCTTCGTCGCCGAGATCGATCCGATCCCGAAGTTGTTCGTGCCGTCCGACGACGTTCCGATGAATCCGGACTCGTCCGTAGAGTCGAAGCCGAGGCAAGCCGTCGCGGTAGATCCGCCCGCCTGCAGCTCGAAGTCCATCGAGTTTGCGCTGTAGGTGAGTTTCGTGAACGCTCCGCCGATGAAGGCAAACGGCTGCTGGATGTTCTCTACGCCGACCTGTATCGAGTCTTCGCTTCCCGTGCCAAAACGAATCGAGTCTGTCTGCAGCACCGTCGACGACGCGATTGGCTGGCAACCGGCCAGGAGGAGGAGAAGGGTGTAGCGTCCCATCCTACGACAGCGGGCGCGACACGAGGGCACGTTAGTTGAAGATGGCGCGCGTGCGTGGCAACGAGAGCGAGTGGGGGCCGGCTGCATGGAAGCCTGAAGATGCGTTGTGAGTCCCTCGGTCAAGTGCCTGGTACGCCCCTCGGCCGCCCTTTTTCATTCCAAATGTGGCGCTCTCCTCCTCGGCCGCCTTAAATAAATAAAGAAAACGGTCAATCTGAGACGAGATGGGATTTAGGGACGTGTGTCCCCGCCCTGCACGATCTTGGTGTGAGGGATCTTCAATCCGTGTCCCCTCACCACTCGTCACAACCCGACACGGAAGAGCGGCAAGAGTTGGGGCTGCGGCTACGGCTGCGGCTACGGCTGCGGCTACGAGAGGGGCCGGGGTCGCGGGAGAGCCGCTGCGCCGCGTGGACGCGCCTACACCGCTCTTGCTCCGCCAATCCGTGTGCCTGCCCCGCATGCGGTCCGGCGTTCGCTCCTTGCGCGCGCCATAGCAGACAGTGCGGAAGTAGTGGGCGGGGGAGCCGACCTCGGCCTGCTGCTGAAGATGCCGCATGAACCCCTCCCTCCCGCCCTGCCACCGCTGGTCGCCTGTCTCGCCGCGGTACTTTGGGTCGCACTTGACGAGGTGCTGGTAGAGCCCGCACTTGCTGCCCACGGTCGCGTACCACTTGCCGCAGTTAGGAACAGGGCACCGAGCCACGCCCATGTCGTAGCAGTCAAAGAGATCCTCGCCCGGCACGTGCGAGCCCGCCTCCTTGTTGCAGTGCCGCGCCAGGGCAGCGAACGAGAGGGCTGAGTCGGCGCGCCCAAAGCCGCGTGGGCCAGCCCAAGACGGAAGGCAGCGGGAGCAGCCGGTGGTGACCGTCGGGTCGGAGAGCGAGTAGTGAGGGCATCGGACCTCCGGCACTCCGGACGGGCGGAAGGCGGTCGGCTTCTCGCGCAATCTAGGGCGGACGGGTTGCGCACCTGCATCTCGAGCAGGGTCCAATGATAGCCGACGGCGAAGAGGAAGGGCCCGAGAGGATCGCCCTGCGCGCAGCCCTCGGTCGACATGAAGGTGTCGCCCGAGCTGCACCGCGCCTCCGCGTTGAAGAGAAAGAGGCGGCGCTGCTCGCTATACCACAGCGCGACGGTCGGGATGAGCTCCGGGAACCACCGCCGCAGGCCCGCAAAGATGGCCTTGCGAGAGATGCAGTTGAAGCCGTTGCGCTTGTCGTCCGAGGCGATCGCGTGGCCGGGGTTGCGCCGCAGATGCTCCTGCAGCAGCTGAATCGCCACCTCGGCTCCGCCAGCGAGTCCCACGCCGACCTGCAGGGGGATGTTGCATGCCTTGACGCGCGCCTCCGCCTCCTCCGCCGACATGCCGAGCCCGCCGTCCTCGGTGGGGCGGAGGCAGATCTCGCGCATGCCGTCGCGGACCGTGCGTCTCATGTCGGGCGTGCCGCCGGTGAAGAGGTCGCACATGTCGGCGCTGCGATGCTTCATGAGCACGCGGTTGGCGAGGCGGCGGATCGCGGCGGGAATGCCGATGGGACGGGTGCCGGTGAGGTTGCCGTCGTCGTCTCTCTTCTCGATGCCGAGGAGGTTGAGGTCGCCCCAAATCTTTGTGGCCGACTCGTGCACCTCGCCGCGGTTGATGGAGGCGGCGATGTCGAAGAGCACTTCCCTCGTGTCCGCCCCGCCGTAGTACAGGAACTCTAGCTCCTCATAGCTCACGCCGTCGACGGACATGGCCCGCGCCTTGGGCACCGAGTGGAACACCTCCCAGAATGCGTCCCGGTACTCCTTGCTGGAGGTCGAGTAGCGTGTGACGGCGCCGCCGGCGCCCTGGGCAGGCCGCATGTCGTCATCCGAGACCGCGGTGGACTGCGGGTGGAGGTCGCGAAGCGTGTCTCGAACCAGCGCCTGGTCCGCTGTCAGGCCGCCGCCGGGCTGCGTGTCGTCGTACACGCCCGTCTCGGCGACGGGGTTGGTCGAGAAGCGGGCGCAGGCCTTGGAGAGGTAGCCTGCTCCGGCGAGGCCGAGGACGGTGGCGAGGAGACGCTCGTCGCGGCTCGACTCGCTCGCCCCCTCTCCCTCTTCCTCGCCCGCCTCCGCCTCTGCCTCCTCCCCCCCCCCGGACGGAGCGTGCGCTCCCCGCCTCATGGCTGCAGCAGCGTCCGCAGCTGCCCCGCTGCCACCCTGGCGCTCGAGCTCGGAGGCGCGCGCCGCCGCCTCCCTCTCCCGCTTGGCAGCGGCGGCGTCGGAAGCCTCTCGCACCATCTCGGCGACCAGCTGCTCCAGGCCGCCTGTCATGACCATCCGGACGCGCCCGAGCATCTCCGAC